AAGCTCGTCCAAGTCAAGTGACGACATGCATTTGAACGATTCGTCGTTTGCCTTCGACCCGCGGACATCGCCTCCGAGGGAACGACCCGCAGCCTCATCACCGATCCAGTGGATCCGCCGAAATGTGTACCCAGATGCCGCTCCGTGTACCTAGTTGCCGTTTCAGAGGCGAAATCTGCATCCTTTGCTTTGCAAGCGCTCCTAGTGCTCCTAGTTCGATCGGTGGCCGTCGCAGTTGTGTTTGCGCGAAACGGCATACGTTTGCTCGAAGCTTATGGCTGTTTTCGGGTAATATCCTGCTAAAAGGCGTGACTTTTTTTTGCACACGCTTGGGAACTGCATTAAAAGAACCGTATTTCAGTAGGGGAGACTATATGATTCGAAACAAAATACAAGACATCCGTCGACCAACACTTGTTATCTCGACCATCCGACAAACCTTTGCGTTTTGTTACGTCACGCAGCAGCTACGGATGTCAGCCATTGACACTGGCGAAATTCGGGGTGCAGTTTCGTACATACGCTCATGAAAGGTTTAATTAATAACGGGAGATCATATATCAAAATAAAAATGACGTTTGTCTACATGAAGGCTCCCTCGAAGGAACGAGCTCAAAAACTTAAGTACTTCCGGTTTCGACCGGACAATCCCTTTAAAGTTGTTATCCACAAAAAAAATTGCAGTGGCTTAGCTCGGCTATGCCAGGATATACGTAGCGTGAGCGGTCGGGCACGTCGCTCAGCCTCCTGGCGACGCCGCTTTGCTAGACGTTCCTCCCTTTGCTCCGGTGTCTCCGCAGCACGTTTAGCCTTCTTCTGTTCGTTCTTCATACGCTCAACCGCTAATTGCCAGGCAACTACGACGGTGTCCGATGAGTTAAGCTTCTCCGCTCTTCTGCGCCGCTAAGCAGGAATTTCGCTCTCCTTCTCCATGGCTATACCCAGGGATGGGCAGTATTTCAAATACAAGTATTTGAAATATGTATTTCAAATACTTTGTGTATTTTGCATTTGTATTTAATTACAAATCGGGTAATGTATTTGACGTGTGTATTTAGATACTAAAACGTAGGTATTTCAAATACAATTGTAATTAAATACAATTTTGTGGGCGAAGATACATCCCTCAAATTTATTGTCACTGTCCAGAGCAGGAAGAAAACTACGTTCTGCACCGAATGCAGTGACTCTCAATCAAGCAGAAGCGTTTAGTGACTTCGTGATTACGGTGCTAGTCCAGGGCAAGAATAGTGACGAAATCGACGTTCACAGGCAGACTGGCTAAATAAGTGCCTGTGACAACTTGTGATGCTTTCCAGCCTGATTTCCATCCATATTTTTGTCTGGAACATTCTAAATGTGCGGATCGTCCAGATTTTCGTAACTGGTGCGAGTTGCAACAATAAAAAATTCTCTAGCTAGTGCTGCGCGTCTTGGTCGTCTCGGTTCTTTGTTGGTCTATACCAAAATGTAATCGACAAAAAAAGCTGCTTGAAGCTCTCTACTTTTTTCACCTATTACGTCCAAGCTGATTACATTTTTTCTGTGATTATATTTCTATTACGTTACTAGAGCCTCGCACACTAACTCCCGAGTGTGTGATGCAAAATTAAAATGAGATACCCAGAAACCCGTTGACGGTGCCCTGAAGTCGCTGACGCAAATTTTGAGGAATGCTTCGGAAAAGTATTTGGAGGAGACCAAATATATTTTGTTGTATTTGTATCTTGTACTTAAATGCCTTTTTGGAAATATAAGTAGATTTGTAATTAAATACATTTTTGACGAAGTATTTTGTATTTGTATTTTGATACATATTTGCATGTATTTTGCCCATCCCTGGCTATACCACACTGGCAAACGCCCCGCTATATGTATACCCCCACTGATACCTCTGCGCATGCGCACAAAATGAGAGGCGCTATCAAGCGGCTCCGATGCAGCGTCAGACTTAGCTACTGCGCAACGGAGGCGCACAGATGGGCACGCGCAGGCGCCAGTGCGTCTGCCGCGGCTATGACGTCACTCCTCTGAAATGCACAGACCGGCGAGGCGCGCGCGGCGGCTCCGGCGCGCCAGCTGTGCACCGTGTGACGTCACTGCTCCTCGGGCATGCGCAGCACGGCTCTCCAGGAGCCACGCGAAACTGCTCAACCTCGGCCAGTGTAGCTCACGCTACAAAACTGCGCTACTATGGTATTTTAGTAACGCACTATTGTAAGCGCAAATTTAAAATAGTATTAAAAAAGGGACGAACACTTAGGCGCATAGAAAGTTTTGTTATCCCGAAGATTTATACAAATGATGGGGGGAAAACACGGGCATAATATGTCCCATTTTATTTTAATAGACCTCAAGAAACTTACTATAACGTGGAGTCACTGAAACAAGTAAAATATTAACTAAAAGATTGGCGTTTGAGTTTGGAAATGTAATTGGGCTTTATTGCTATAGTATTCCGCTGAGTGCTGTCTCTTTTCTTCTTGTCTGCTTTTTAAGTGTGCCACTAATGCACAGAAGAGGATTTCAGTGTAAGCAACCCCGCAGCGAAGCCACCGGTCTTAGAACCATAGGGCGCCCTATGGTTTGAAGACCGGTGGCTTCGCTGCGTTTCCATAGGAGTTAAGCCTTTTTCTTTTTTTACTTTTTCCTCAGGTAAGCTCGCTCTTTGCGAATTTTATAGAAAAAATGCACCACCTGTGGCCACCGCTGTATAAAATCGGAACGCGATAGATTAAGAAACCGAATTTTGCGGTCGATTGAAAGAGCCTGGCCTCTCCTTGAGACACCCAGTATACGTCCTCACTTTAAATAACGTGGTAGGACCTCGAGGCCCCCACACTCTTAACGTTCCTCGTCGCAGGCCTGTCAAAAGCATTCAACGAGCAATTGCGCACCAAAGAGATACACGTGCGAAAAACAAAACCTCTCGCTTCCGGCACTCATTGTCTGGCAATCCCAAACTACAAACTAGTCCGGACAATCTGATATGCTGATGTTTCTCCGAAAACAGTATCAAAAAAGATAGGCGGCACCTAAGATTATACACGGAGCGAAGTTAGCTAGTGCGCCTTAAAATGACACGTGGTGAGTCCACTAAGGGCAACTTCGCCAGCTCAACCATGAATGTCAACTTAATTAAAAAAAGTGAAAGCCGTTTACAAATCCCTGTAACGCCGAATTGGAGCGCAGCTCTTGAGGAGGAGGAGTGAAGGGTACTGAGGGGAGGGTAGACCCCTCCCCCTTCTCCTCTTCCTCCCCTCATTCTTTAATATGCTCCGGGGGGGGTGTCACGTGACTTCGGGGAGGGGGTCACGTGACCTCGGGGAGGCGTGACCTGGGGGTGACCTCAAGGCCACGTGACCCCAAAGGTGACCCCCACGTGACCTTGGGGTCACGTGACCTGGAGGGGTCACGTGACCTGGAGGGGTCACGTGACCTCGGGGGGTCACGTGACCTCAGAGGGGTCACGTGACCTCAGAGGGGTCACGTGACCTTGAGATGACCTTGGAAGGGGTCACGTGACCTCGGGGGTCACGTGACCTGAGGGGTCACGTGACTTGGGGGTCACGTGACCTTCAAAGGGTCACGTGGGGTCATCTTGGGGTCACGTGACCTTGAGATGACCTTGGGAGGGGTCACGTGACCTTGGGGGTCACGTGACCTTGGGATGACCTTGGTTACGCCGACGCCGACGGCGACGGCGACGGCGACGGCGACGCCGACGGCGACGCCGCTCAAGCCGGGAACGGGCCCCTAAGAGCTGCGCTCTAAAAAGTACCAACATAACCCCAGCGTCTGCCTGGGCGAATCACGATCAAACATTCCTACTGTTTTAATCTAAAATGAGGAACTATTAGAACTAATCTGAGAACTGTATAATATGTCTCTCGCTCACTGTCATTAATACAACTGTTGTTCGGCAACCTTCACTGTTGATTTTTTTCTACATAATCCCCCTCCCCCCCTCTTTTCCATGTAACGCACCTCATTGAAGTAGCTTTAAAAATTAATAAACCTATCTTTTAAAAAAAGGCTTGGTCTGAGAAGAGGACATCCTGGGCTCGATGCTCACCCCTGCCCATTTCAATCTGGATGAACAACCCACCGGCGTGCGGTTGTGTATCGCTATTGCGCGATGCACGTTGAAGACCCCAGGCTAGCGGTCGTAATGCGCTTGTTTAATTGCTCATGTACATCGTAAACCACTTCAAAGGCAGACCGACCTTGCGCTGTGTGTTATTCGTTTCACTTGAAGTCGGATCGCAGTCGACGATCCGATGGGGTCAATTAAGCAGCACCAAAAGTGCATCGCCAAGGCGTTCGTTGCCTTCGTGCCTTTTCTATCATGATCGTATAAACCAACGCGGAGAGCACGTCGTCTGCTTCTTGCATGAGGGTTGCAATGATGCCAGAACGCCGAGCTCTTATTGGGTGATTGTAAAAAATAGTGGGTAGACGTCAAGGAATCTAGGATTGAGGTCTACCCACTATTTTATTCAATCAGCCAATCAGAGCTCGGCGTCGTTCTGACGTCACCACAACACCTGCGCAAAAAGCAGACGACTTGGTCTCCGCATTACGCGCAGCAAAAGAAGTGCAGCATCGCGGCGCATTCACCCTGCGTGATTGGTTTTGTCTGTGACAGCAAAAGCGCTAAGGCGATGAGCGTCGTGATGATGCACTTTTGGCCTCGCTCGGCTGGCTCCATCGGATTTACCTTGGAACGGAGTATATCCGTCGCTTATCACCCGGGCGAAAAATGCTGAGTCACTGAACTGTGGACGCATGCGCAGCGTCTTATATACCGTACAACAGAGTAACCGCGGATACTCAGAAGGCGTTCCACAGCCCAGCAGACAAAAATGGCAGCGAGCAGAAGGCGATTTTTACGAAGGTCTATAAACACGAACCTCTAAGTTCGTCTATTTTGTTTTGTTTTGTGCATTAATTACATAGCAATACAGACTAATTGTCCGTTATCTTGTGGCTTGGTGCAGGCACCTGACCAAGCAGGACTACGTGTTCGAGGAGAACCTAGACGTGGGAGACTTCCCGCTCAAATGCTACCTCGTGGACCTCGCTTCCCAGAAGGGCACGTCGGGGGACGCCGCCGCCACCCTGGTCGAGTCCACGGGCGCCGCCGAAGACAGCATGCTGCTCTCGCCTTCTTCGTCCCCCGTCAGGCGAACCTCGTCCGTGCCGTCACCGTCCTTCGAGGCCGACGAGGTTTGTACGCGCGGAGCACTCGCAAGCTGAGAGAGAGAGAGAGAGAGAGAGAGAGAAAGCGTTGTGAATGAAGATGGGGGGAGGGGGGGGAGGGGGGGGGGGAGGGACAATAGTGTATGCGCACTGGGCGCTTTTGATTGCCTCGAACATGAATGTCGCAAAGCGAACGGCGGCTGGCTGAGACAGGTGATAAAAATCACCATATAAAAAATTAAAGAAAAAAAAACAACAAGCGGGCAAGGACAAGGGACTGCGCTCGTCCTTTTCATATACTTCTTTTTGTTCTTGTCAATTCGCGCCTTTTTTTTTTTTTTTTTTAGTACGTGATTAATTAACTTACCAGTTTGTTTCGATACAGGTTGGTAGAAGACGTTGGTGGGATGTGCTGCACCCTAATCTATTTTACAGTCCCATGTCACCATTCACAACTCTGATTACCCTATGATAACAAATTAGTAGATTATTTTCGAATTTATATGAAAGGCATGAGGGAGAGAGAAATAGAAGAATGGTTGTGGAAAGATGAGGGGCATGACCATTAGGACGAGGATTATATTTCAGAACACTCATTTACTAACTATTTCCATCATTACCTACATCAGGTTACGCGAACTATCGTGTAGTCACGGCAGACAACAGTGTTTAAAAATTAAGAGCACTTCCAATGCTTTTTCTTGCAGATCGGCATGTTCATTGAAAGCCGGTTCACCAACAAGTCCACGAAAATCGGCGAGCAGCAACAGCCGACCACCGCCGACGGCAGTGAGTCCCCGCTGTTCGCGCCCAGACAAAAAGCGACAGACCCGACGCAACACGCCGTAAAGTACGTCCACAAGGACAGCGGGACAATTCGACAAGCTTCAGGGGTCGCAGCCCAGGACAACCCCAGCCCCAACAGCGTCGACAGCCTGGGACTGCCGTGGCAAGACCAAGCATCGGCCAAGTCCGGCAACCGATCGTTCATGGGCCTCCGCTGGAAACAGCCCAACAGGATCAAGGGCCACGACTCTAAGAAACCCAACAGCAGTTCGGCTCCGTCCGTGGCTGCGGATGACAGCGAAGACGCAAGCGAAGACCACAGTTTCAAACAAGAAAGCCCCGAGCCGAAACCCGGTCGGCTGCAGTGCCCCTTCTTCCGATTTCGCGCGAGGACCTCGGGCCTAGACGACGCCCAGTGTAGCAGCAAGCCCACGTCGCTGGGCAGCAACGCCGGGAGCACGCAGGATTCGTCTCGGAGGGTCGAGGGCCGAAAGAAGGACAAGTTCTGGTCGAGGGTCATCTTCCCGTCTTGAGACCCGCGGGGGAGGCCCTAGTGACATTGTCCCTCGATATTCCCCGAAGCAACCGGCGCGCCTCAGCCAGACCCGAGCACGGCCTTTTGCGGTGGGACGGCCCGCCGCGCCACGTACACAGTCCGACAGAGCTTCTTCTGCCCGAGGGCCCCAAGAGCACCGACGTTTCAAAGCGGTCCCAGACGACACGTCCAGCCTGCCACCGAGAGACCCACCTCCGAGTCGGTGTACGACTCAAGCCTGCCAGGACGTGCGGCCGTCACATCATTTCCTTTCCAGCTTGCACCGAAATAAATTCACAGAACGGCAATCTGGCGTCCTCTCTAGCGGATGCAGAAGAGCGAGCCTGGCTGCTTGGTCTACACAAAAAGCGCGACAAATACTTTAATATTCAGACCTCATTTTCATAATCACTTGGCAATCCTGCTTAAAAACAACAAATTCTAAATTCACCTGTTAGTGGAGCAAACCTGGGTGACGACCGATTCCAGCCTCCAATTGGGAAAAAAACGTAAGCGCCCCCCCCCCCCCCCCCCAACCCACCCCTAAAAAAAAAAAAAAAAAAAAAAAGGTTCTCAGATTGTTTTTTATCAGAACATACCATACCAAACAGCTTTTCTCTTTTTCTTTTTTTTTTTTTTTTCTTTTTTTTGCATTTTGCATTTTTGGCATTATACGGGCTTTCTACAGGCTGAACCAAATAAACTGGCTAAGTGGCGCAGTCATTCTCTGGAGATCCGTCCTCGATCACCGCAGCACGCTTTCAGCGTAAATCAAGATCAACATTTTCTCCTCTGCTTGAAACCCAAAAGAGCTGGATGGATGGGTGGTAATGGCTGTACTGTTTATAACGGGCGGTAGCTTGCGCCACCTAGGCTGGAAACCAAAAGTATCACTCCTCCTCCGCTTGTTTGAGCCAATTTGCTTCCTCTCCGTATTGTTGTAACTATTATCAGGCGGTGTGGGATATCACCAGGGTGACCTTTGGGGATCAGGCAAATAAACTAAAAGCATCACGCATCGCCTTCGTCCCCCAGCGAGGGAGTCGCCAATTTTCCTCTGGTCAAACCTAAAGTCCCCCGATCCAGTGACTTTAGTCAAACCTAGTCGGCGGCTCGGCGCCACCCCAACACCGGGCCCACTGCAGGGTGAAAACTTTGAACCGGAGCCACGCGAGAATGAGTTCCAATTTTCCTCTGTCCTGCCTGTTCCCAGCTTGCTCGTTAGTTTTACTTCATTTAATTTTTTCCTTGGTAATTTTAACTAACTTTCTAACGTCCTCTTTATGACTACCCCTTTTCTCCTCCATTCTTCCATCATTGCCAGCAAGACCCAGCGCCCCTGCCAGGTCTGTTACCCCTGCATGGAATGCAGGGCGAAACCCCGTGCACCTCAAAATCAAATATCCTATTGTCTGACTCTTACTATGGCACACGGCACATAATGTGTCTCTCTCTTGAAATTTAGCCCTACACGTCTTTGTTCTTAGCACTCCCGTTCTCGCCTCGAACAGCAAAGAACTTCCACGTGAATTATCAAACACCCTTTCCTTTTTTTATGCGCTGTTTCTTTGACCTATACATGGTCACAGAACTTTGTTACTCACAAAATCAGGTTTAGAAAAGTTCGGGTGTGGTGATATTCAGACTGCGCGAAGTTGGTCAGGCAATTAAATGAGACGACGAGTGTCCCGGATGTGCTGGAATACTTGCCAGTGCAGAGTGGCGTGTGACCATTGATCAGTAATTTTGACCGCCAGCCCCGGAGGGGGGGAGGGGGCGGGGGGGTTAACGTGCATCACGCAGTAGTGATCACACGAACGCACTGTTTTACGATACTCTTCCAGTTTGCAACGGCCAGGGGCCGGCAGGAGGTTGAGGCTCAGAAAAACCTTGAAGCGATCTAGCAAACTACCTCCCCACCTCCTTCCACGCTGGTAGTAATGCGATCGAATTTTCTGGGACGGAGGAAACGCCGAGCAAAAAGCACAGAAGCCGACACAACTCGAGGAGCGTTCTACCATACCAGTGGCGTCGGAAGAGAAAAAACGGAGGAAAAAAACGGGAAGGGGAAAGGGAAGCTCCAGCCCCCCCCCCCCCCCCCCCCCCCCCCCCGCCCCCCGGGGAAAGGGGGCGCGGGCGCGGTCGAGCTTATTTTAGTCTGTCGCTCTTCACTGCATAAAAGATCGCGTGGATGGTCAATGTCGGAAACTCGTTGTCAGAAGGCACTACTCGTCACACGCTTAGTGGTTCGGAAGTTCAACGCTATGGCTTCTCAACCTAAATAACTGTGCCATTGGCAAAAAAAAAAAATTATAACAATAAATGCAAAAAAAAAGAAAAAGAAACAGAAACAATCAAGAACTTGCTAAAAGTGTTGTATTCTTGCATACTCAGAGGCTCAGAACTTCGAAACCAATTTCTCCTACCAACTTTGCGTACAGGCCAAAAGAAACAAGTCCCAAAAACGTAAAGCAAGAAAAATAAAATATATATATATATATATTGTTTATGACGTGCTGAACTTGAACAATATTATAAATCTTCCTCCATGAGTTAATTTATTCCTCAACGTGAAAAAAACAATAAATACATTATTTTGTGTTCTGCAGATGGCAATGATATGTACTGTCTGCGGTATTAATTTGAATGCGATACCTCAATCAATAATTATAATGCAATTAAATGCAAAGGTGCAAACGAGCTGGACAAGAATGACGGAAATAATCCCTGGAGAAGGGGAACACGAGGGACAAAGGACAAATACAAATCTTTAGACGAAAAAAATTACCAAGTTTAGGGCATAATTGCCCGTAGATACATGTTTGGACATTTCTTCGAAACTCATCTTGAATAACAATATTCATATCTTAAGACAGCACATACCCAGACGATACATAGATCCTTCTTAAAAAGTCTAACATCTCTACCATTTCATTTCATTTATTATACTCTCAGGGCCCGAAGGCATTACAGAGAGTGGAATTATACATCAATACAAAAGTGAACAATGAAAACAAAACGCAAAAAAACAAAACACAAGGTACAGAATCGCTATGAAACATTATTAAGAACATCAGTTATGGCGTTTTTAAAATCAGCAGCGTCAGTAAGTAAGACTACGGATGCGGGAAGAAGATTCCAGTCGACGGAGGTCAGGGTAGGAAGGAGGCATAAAAGGTGGAGGTGAAGCAGTAGGGGATTCCTACTTTAAGTGGATGATCGGTACGCAGCGATATGTATGATGGTTCTGAAAATAATGAGGTTCGAAGTGCTGGATTAGAGTGATAAATTTTGTGAAATAAGCAGAGGCGAGGTATTTTTCTACGAAAGGAGAGGTTGGGCAAATAAAGAGAAGCTTTCATGGAGGTGAAGCTGGCTGTACGGTGATAGTTAGAAAGTATACCATAAAGCTTCGGTTCGCGCGCTTCAAATATGGCACAAGCGACAATCGGTAAAAACCGGCCGTCCTTCCTCGCTCCTTCGGAAATTTGTTTCTTTAGAACTAAGCATGCCAGAACATTGAAATAAACGGCATTGTCTTTCACAAGGAATGCAGCACCGCATGTAAAAATAAAAAAAAAATAAAAAAATTACGATTGTACTTTACTGCTTGAATCCAAATGAAACCGCCCGCCAGTCTTTCGAAGTTCGACGAACTTCGAACTTTTACCCAGAAAGGTCGAACTTCGTCGAACTTTTGAATTTTTCAGAAATCGGAAGTTCGAAATTTTTCGATTTCTCTAGATAAATAAGGTCGAAAGTTCGAAAATTATGGAATTTCTTAGCGTAGGAAATTTTAAAGTTCAAAAAAGCTTCGAACTTCTTGTAGTGACTCGTATAGATTGGAAGCCAAACGATGAATAATCTTTAATCAAGGGAAACACACATTTATATAGTAGCTGTTATCAGGTCTCTGCAGACCACGTGACATGACATTACAGATTCGAGGCCACGTTATCACATTCCTCCCCTACAATTCCGAACCCATCACTTCCGGAAATTTTCGGACAATACAAAACGCTCGGGTGGCCGACGTGAACGTTCGCTCCTTCGCGCAACACTGTCCGTTGGTGCGTCTGGCTGTGTTTGGCGGGGTTCCGGTTGGGGTGTTGCCCTCATTGTCACATGGCTTGTCTTGGGGTGGAACTGCCATCATCAGAGTGGCACCCGAGAAGTCTCCATTGCGTTGTTCTCGGCCGGTCTTGCACAGTCAGGCACTGCACTTTCAGGGTTCGAGATAGCATCAGGACGAGCGCGAATGTGGTCGGCATATGTAAACCTGACCTGATCACCAACCCTTACTAAGTACGTCACTGGGCTAACATTTTGCACAACAACTCCGCCATTCCAAGACACTTCTTCCCCCCTCACCATTTTGACAAAAACCAAGTCATCAACCGCGACCTGTTTCTTTCGCATGTCAGCAACAAAGTTAGGTTTTAGTATAGTTAGTTTTACATGCGGCTGCCGCTTCAAAAATAACTCAGCCGGTGTTTTTCCCCTGGCCCTGTTAGGTGTGTTTCGGTAACTTAGCAAGACAGCTATCGAGGCCATCTTGGAGCGAAATCGTCACTCCTGTTAGTTTCTGTTCTAAAACTTGTTTTAGAAGCGCCTTCTTGGTTGTCTGTACCAGCCGTTCGGTAGCTCCATTCGAGGACGGGTGGTATGGTGGCGTCCTGGTGTGTTTAACCTTGCTAACAGCCAGGAACTCAGCAAACTCTTGTGAAACGAATTGCGGCCCGTTATCGCTTAGGAGTTCCTCTGGCAACCCGTACGCAGCAAATGCACTCCTTAGCTTTTCGATTGTCTTGGCCGCTGTGGTAGTACTCATTGCCCACACCTCGACCCATTTCGAAAAAAAGTCCACGAGTACCATGAAGGAGTTCGATCCCTTTGATGCGAAATCGACATGAACACTTTGCCAACACGCCGCTGGGTACGTCCAAGGATGCAGCGCTACAGGTTGTAACGCGGGTCGTACTGACTGGCAAATAGCACACTGTTGTACCTACTCTTCTACGTTTTTACCCATGCCCGGCCACCAGACGTAGCTCCTTGCCATCATTTTCATCCGACTGGTGCCTGGGTGATCCTCGTGGAGCTGTGCCAAGACAGATTTCCGTAGCCTTTTTGGCACAACGACTCTTGTTCCCCAGGTTACACAGCCATGGTCTAAGGAAGGCTTATTTCGACGGACCAAATAAGACTGTAGCTCAGGATCAGAAACCTGGCCTGGCCACTCATTTAGCGTGAACTCCACTACTTTAGTCAATGTTAGAACCGATTTTGTTGCTTTCGCTACGTCTGTGGCTGTAAGGGAAAACACTGAAAGACACT